AGAGAGAGAGAGAGAGAGAGAGAGAGAGAGAGAGAGAGAGAGAGAGAGAGAGAGAGAGAGAGAAGTTATACGTACCGTTTCAATGTCATACCTCACATCGAGATACTTGTCAGTCATGGGACTCCACTCACTGATGTCAGCTCCGTTCATTATTCCCACCATTCCTTTCCTGGAAACGAGTTCCCGCAGACCTGCACCCCGCTCTTCCTCTGTGGAGACCTCATTGGCATATGTTGGACTGACGGTCAATAGCAAATCAGCTTCCTCAATACCGGCTTTCATCCAGTTCAATAGCTGATGCTCATTTGAAGCTTTCTCACTTCAAGCACCAAACATGCAGAACACAACCCCCCACCCTTCTCCCCTTCCCCACCCTCACCAACCACCACCACCACCACCACCACCACACACACACAAATGGACGCACCCGTACACCCACAGACCACGCACACACAGTCAGGGCGGAGGTTGTGGAGCGGGAGCCAGGAAGACAGAGACAAGTCAAGGCATGCAGATGGATAGAGACTTAAGTTACCTAGACATACAGTTGTTGCCCTGTATCTGACAACCTCACTCAGGCTCAGCCGCTCAGTGCGACATCCAGTGACTTCAGAAACCAGTTCAAACCACCACAACCTTTGCTCTACTGTTGCCCTGTTTTCCTTGCTACCTGAGTCGTCACTTGCTTGGCTGCCCACTGGCAACAGGGGTTGAAACGTTGAAGTACGTCACAGCCATCATTCCACTGAGCCACGCACAAAATCCAGCAATCAGGCACTGCCAGGCAGGAACCGAACTGAGCAACCATACAAATGCTAGAAAAACAGAATAACAGGTAGATCCAGCTCAACGGAAAACCTGACAGTGTAGGGTTGGTTGTGCCCAAAGCCTTCCACGTGGGTAAGAAGGGCCTACCTGAAAATGAAGGGATAATTGGGGGAAAGCGCCCATGCCGAGACCGTTTTGGTTTTGGGCGACCAAAGCTCGGCCGTTTGGTACTACCGGCCCAAATGTCTTCAGCCTGGGTGAAAAGGCGCCTATGCGCCGTGGTCACAGATCCATTGGCCTGTTGTAATGGGACAATGAATCTGGCGCAGTCTCTGTGCCAGATTCATGGACCGGTAAGGCCACTGTTTTTCAGGATACCGTACTTGGGCCTCTTTCTATCCATTCAGGGTACCACCCTCGGCCTCTTTTACATTGGAATGAATCTGAATCTGGCGCTGTTTATGCCCCAGATTCATGATCCGGTAGGGCCCTTGGACTCTTGGAGCCATGTGTGGGCCCACATGGAAAGGTTTGGGCACGTAGTACCAAATGGCCAAACTTCAGGCGCCCAAAACCAGAAAGGTTTCGGCATGGACGCTTTCCACCAATCATCCCCAAAACCAGGCCTGACTGAATGGCCACCGCCGGATCTGAACATCGGACAGGCTGAAAGCCTGAAATCTCTGTTGGCCTCCGCATCCAACCAGTCTGAGAAGAGTCTGGGAATGATGAACACCACAGGTTTTCGGTGGGCCGTATCTACCTGAAATCCCCTGAAAATGACTTAGGGATGAGGCAAGGAGTCAGGTAATCAGTAAGGCCAAGAAGCAGGCAGCAAGCTAAATTAATGGGAGGCGACGGCCCAGTTCCCAGGATGCCAAGCAGCTCAGCAGCATGAACAGTCAGAACAGGCAAGTCAACAGTACTGAACAGTAATCAATACATTAATGTAAGTCTGTATACAACACCGACCAGATCAGACTGTCGCAAACTTGCAGCATATATTAACTCTCAGACTGCTAGACCACAAGTTCACAACAGCATCAGTGCCACTTCCAGGCTCCAGGGAACAGAGAGACACAGAAACTGCCATTTCGTCAACAGACATTTTATAATTTTCGAAGGAAATTAAAACTGCACTTTTTGGCCGAAATCAGGTCCAAATTAATGGCTCCTGGGGGTCTGGCATTCCGTTCCTAAAATGTCGGACCCCCAGGAGCCAAAAATTTGGACCTGATTTTGGCCTAAAAACGCAGTTTTAACTTTCAATTTCGTTCAAAAGTCATAAAATGTCCGTTTTGACGAAATGGCAGTTCAGAGTCTTCAGACATCAAAATGTCAATAACAAAGGGGCCCCGGTTATAGTACTGTAGGGCAGTGCAGGCACTGAGTCACTGACTATTTTGGCACATTTCAAAGGTGCTGGTCTGGGACAATCAGGAGAACATGGAAAGCCCCACCGTGCACACAAACTGGAGGGCATAAACATGGGGAGGAAGTTATTAGATAGTATAACAGCATATCCTTCTTTATTTTTTTCTTTTTTTTACATACTTGTTTCAAGTTGTTTGCATGTGTGTGTGAATCAGTGTGATGACTCTGATGACATGTTTGTGTGTGTGTGATGATGATGCGTGTGTGTGATGATGATGATGATGTGTGTGTGTGTGTGTGTGTGTGTGTGTGTGTGTGTGTGTGTGTGTG